TGACATTTCCAGTTGTTGTGGCTGCATATAGCCTAGTTCCATATGAATATATTTTTTGAATAGTGAGTCGCTAAAGAAAGTAAACATACTGTTCCATGAAAACAACAGTAAACCTTGTATAATATCAATTTGACTAATTAAAAAAAAAAAGAAAAAGAAATACACTTACCAATGGTTGCATGCGTCTTTTGCCAATAGGATATTGGTAGGGATTTCTTGACTGCATTTGGCATGCAGTAAACCATAGGATAAACCCTGATAAAAGATCAAGGAGAGAATCGAGTGTAGATGCAATAATTGCCAACGAGCCACTCCTGACCGAAGCATAAACTTTTGCAGCAAAAAGAACCATGTTAGCGATGTTCGATAGTCTAATGGCCATTGTCTCACTCTTAGCAATCTTCTCGCGCTCCTCCTGTTTTGAAACATAACGATGTCAGTCCATGGCTTATTTCATATCAAGCTAACACTTTCCTTCAGAGGTATTTGCCCTCTTCAGCCTCAGGAGAGGATATAGCTGATTAACTCGTACCTTCGACATTCCAGGAAGAAAACCACGGTCAGTTAAGGCATCCATTTCGTTAAAACCCTCAAGCATTTCTTCCTGTTGCTGATAATATTCTGCCACCACATCTCCAGTGCCTATGACCATCACGTCAACACTTTTTTCTCAGTTAAAAAATCGCAAACTATTTGTTCAACATACTGCTCTAACACTAACTTCACACTTAGGAGGCAAATGAGATTTCAGTATATTATATCACAAAACGATCAGCTGGTGCAAAACATGATTAGCAAACCAAATCCGAGAAATAGGTGTCGGTAATTCAAGAGCAAAATTTTTTTCAGATATTGTTTCCCATGTTTATCTAGAGTAAGGTGTTTGATCAGTGAGGTGACTCCAGAAAAATAAATCTCCTTTTTAAAGAAAAGTAAAGAAAAATAAATGAATACGGAGGGACTACTCACCATGAACAATGACTTCCACCTCAGGTTTTCTCGTTTCAATCTCAGTAATCCACTTTGAAATCAATAATCTAGTACCAAAGGATTCGTCAAGAAAAAGGGTGGGGATGAAACTGGATCCGATCTCAATTTCCAAATACCCACAACTACAAGCCTTCCTATCAACTAGTGTATTATATACTTCATCAGCATCCAGATTATTGACTAAAAGCCAAAATACTCATCCGCGATTTCTCATAAACCCAAAACGAAGATACCTTAAACCAAGGAGACACCTTTATCCGATCCCCAAAAGGCTAGCAGAAAAAGATCGCATCTGAAACAATATAGCCCAACATTTCCGCAAGTAGAATAAAGAAAGCACCGGTCGATACAATTGGATGATGAGGTAGGCGGCTCTTCTGATCAAAGGGGATGACGGAAGAAAGACCATAATAATATGAACGGGAAGCATGCATATGCCTAATAAAGAAAAACACGCATCGAACTCGAGCGGTCAGATTACGAAGGGAATAGAAAAAATAAAGAAAGGGAAGGCGAACCTAAGACGCCGAGGCAGTCATGGAGGCCACGGGGGGGAGGCTTCTCGCGGGGCTCGGACGGTCGGAACCCGTCGAAGTTGAGCCGCCACGACCGCTCCCTTTCCCCGGACTCCACCAAGAGGAGCTCGGTTCCCTCCTCGTCGTACGCCCTCTCCGGCTCTCCCATCCGCCTCGTCGTCGCGAGCTCCGCCGCCGGGGAAACAGAGCGCAAAGGTAAGCAGGTGAGTGGAGTCACGCCACCGCGGTGAGAAGAGAGCAGGTTTTCCGACTTTTATTTCTTCCTTGGTACACGTCCTCCGAGACGGCGGCGAAAGCAATCAAAACGCGGGGACCACCATCCCTTCCTGTGGAGGAAGATATATCTAAAATATATTATTATTATTATTATTTATTGTGCGGTGTATATGATAGAAAAAAATATATATATATATATATTCTTTGTATTCGTCTGTTTTGTCCTGAATGATTAATGGACGGTGATGATTTAATCGTGAGATAATGGACGACCGTGGATGATAGAAACCAGGCATATGCTGTCAAATTAATTTGAACCACGATAATTCTCAAAATTATTAGATTAATCATGACTAGGCTCATCTAATTCATGTGAACTATCACGCTAATCATGACAAGATAAAATATCAGATGCTGTTACAATTAAATAAATTAAATATTTTATTTTTATTATCGATCATGCACCTAAAACATAAAATAAAAACAAAAAGAAGGATCACACGAGGCACCACCCAACTCTCCACAATTAATATACATATACGCCGAGAATGTTGTTCCTGTACACCTCAATATATACATATATATATATGTACGTATATACATATATATTTCGTGGCAAAGAATCGTTTGATGCAAACAAAAAGTTGTGATCAAACTATGGGGAATCTGTTTCGGATGAGAGGGGATCGGCCGCCGCGGATTGGCCGCTTGATCCGGTCGTCCGTTTCCTCTCTCTCTCTGTCACCTGTTAGGGAGGGATGAATGACGCGTGGCACCAATATCGTTGGTGCGGTGCATATGCCCAACGGACTGTGATTCTAAATATTCTTATATTAACGTAAGGCGATTTTTCAGAAAATTAAAATACTTTTAATTTTTTTCCCTAAACTAACAAAGATATATATGTATACATATATTTAAAACTCAACCAAAAATCGATAAATTAGTTTGTAATTTATGTTATTGGATTCTTTTATGGAATAATATAAAAATATTAAAATTCTATTCGTAGATATTGTTTCGGAAGAATTTATCCAAAATATTACATATACATTTATAATTCGAAATTAATATGATGTTATCTTGTTTTCATGGATTCGTTGTTTGGAACCAATTCCGAGGCAACAGACGGTAACAAATTCTAATGTGAAAAGCACTTTAAACGTGACGTTTTCAAAGCCATATGCCACACATGGCGTTTTCAAAGCCAACAAACTCAAGTCATGTGTGCATCACTCACTCGACTTCTTCATTACAAATAATCTTCCGAGGAAGACGTATGCCACAATTATTGGGCTAATCACTGAGACCCAAAGCCGCTCTCATGTTGAAAGAAAAAGTTATATGACCATAAATATATCATTTCCCCACTCGACGGATAACCCACCCACCCATCACATGATGGGTGTGACTTAAGACCAATCACATGAAGCAATTATTAACTCTTGACCTGTCTCTTGTCAACTAGTCGTACAAACAATTATACTTAATACAGGGATGAGTTGCATGCCCTTATTTCTTATAAAAATAATAAATAAATAAATACGAAAAAGGAAAAAATCAAGCTTAGAACCTAACCTTAGAATCTCTGCGTAAAGAGAAGAAAAAGGAAGATACAGTCACTTTACAGTGACAAATGATGCATCTCAATCATGCGAATGACAAGCGAGCCACCAACCACAGGCATACTCGCTCTCTGTTTATCCAAGTTTGACACGCTACTTCGAGAGAACCAAACTTACAAGCAACTTTTGTGATTCTTCCTGAGCTTATTATAACCTCTGTGAAAGGCTGCTAACCTTCAACCATAGGATTGATGGAAATAAATGGATGAGTTAAGATCATCTGCGCTTCAACTTCTCTGAATTATGCTTCAATTTACCACATCCTAAGCACAGATGCTTAGGCAGCAGGCCACCCCTGTTACAAACATGAAGATTTTGGATGTCAAACATCTACAACATCTGAAAGAATCTGAAGCTCAAATTTGCATCATTAAATCCTCATCAGCCTTCATATAAAACATGAATCCTGAGTAAGATGGGCAAATGATCAAAATAAAAATTTAGCTCTAAGGTGAACAGCTTTCAGTTTTAGGTTCCTCACTGAAACACCTGAGTCAGTCTCACAATTCTGTTCAATTAAGAGGACAAAGAAAGTTTTAAGGAAACACAGGCCACATAATGCTGTACAAATCATTTGTTGAAGAAGTACATCTTTAATCAAGGAGGAGGCTTTTACCTGGTATATCCAGCGTGGCTTCAAGAGACTACTCTTACATAAAGAGAAATCCTCACATCTACAATTACATCAAGACAATAATCGAAACCAAGGGTTGTTCCTGTGAAGTGTCAAATGCCAGCCACAGTGCAACAGTTCATCTTGGCCGAATCGCTGGCAACACAGCAAATGTCTTCATTCCATCTTGTTCTTGCTCAAGATGTTCAGAGTAAAACATACTATTTATGCTAAAAAAATCTCAGCAGCAGAAATCAAGTTCTATGTGAAAACTTCATTTTGATGGAGGGCCAGTATAACACAAAGAAAAAGGATCTTGTAGCTCATCAGAGTATCAGGATGAGGAGCATTTTAATTTAACAATGCAAACTAAAAATTCTGTAGTAGCAGCAAAATTATCATTCTACCAAGAACAATTTGTATTAAATTACATACCTTCAAGAACTAAATCATTGTATTAAATTACATACCTTCAAGAACTAAATCATCAGCAAGCTGCGGCTCCTGCATGAGTATGAATATACAAGCACTAGAACAAAATTCTGTATGAACTGAACAAAATAAAATATGTCAATTAGAATATTAAGATGATAAAATATATGGTAGCCACGCAAAATTAAGTGAATAGTTCAACACCAGCTGCCAACGCAAACACAATTATGATATCATACTCAATAAGGAGCATACTAGCGATTCCAGCCTCTAGGCACATTTATTTATATTGTGCTTGAAACCAATATATTCCATCTGCCTTGAGCCAACGGCTGGTTATTCAGATAAAAGGATGCCAGCAATACTGAGCTCAAGTTTGCTCAGATCACAAAAAGATGTGACCATGTTATTAGAACTTCCCTTCATACCTTTCATCCAGTCCCTTCTCTAAATTGCAACCACAGGAGATACATGCACAACTGAAACTCTGCAAAGAGAAGACAATTCCCATGTTGGTGTCAGTTTGGCTGGTACATATTCAGGTTGAACAAGCAACAAACGTGTACATTCATGTCATGGATGTAGTGATGGTGCAAACATGGAGAAAATAAATTGCATTATTCAAGCCTGACAAGTTCATCGTTACACAACTGTGTTCCCTGTACAGCAGCAACTTCCTGTCCATGAAGTCAGCAGGTTCAGCTAAGACACGTGTCTTTCTAACAATTCACTTACATACTTGATTTAAGAAAGAAGGGTGAAGCCCTTAGTTCAAAGAATAACCACATCTTCTCCACCCTCTGGTAAAGAAGGGGTGTCTAAGGGCTTCTTGCGCTTTTAGACGCTCCGTCGGATCATAGCGGAGAAGCCCTTGCAGGAGATCAATTAAATCCCCAGCAGAATGATCAACATGCTGCATTACCAAGTTCTGCAAAGCATTTACAATTATTAGATAGCATGACTTAACTAGAATGAAAAACATCATAGGAAAAGATGGATATTCTTTCCAAACAGAAATAGGTCAATTTCCAAACTGACACCTACCTGAAGACGAGCCAATTTCCAAACTGCTCTAATACTTTCCCTTGAGGTTGCCCCTTCAGGCCAGTCTAATCGCACTCCTCTACCTTGCCTGAAATATTTCTCTGCATGCCGGCTACCATGGACATACAAGAAAACAAGTATAAATATCATAAGATTAACCTGTCAACAAATTTGGTTGAGTAATAACAAAATCATAAAAAACGAAACAAAATGTAGGACTCACTCAGCTCTGATGACCATATGCTGAGGAAGTGGTCCTAACACCCTCTCCATCATAGCCAAATGCTCCAAGTTTTCATGGGTTTGAAAAAGTGCCTCCCCCTAATGTTGAGAAATTAAATAAAATACAATGTATTTTAGTATAACTACTTGCTACATAACTTATATGGATAACATATTTACTGTTATATTTCTATCTTACTGATGCCTTAAAATAACAACCATGTTGAGTTACTCTTAAGGAAAATACATATACTCCAGTGTCAAGAACCTTAATGCATAAGATGTGGGCAAACAAACGAGCCAATAATCACAATATTTTCGGAGCATTAGCAAGTAGTAAAACAAACTTATCCTTCAAGGCTTCACCAGATCAAGCCCTAAAGCTCTCGAGCTAAAATTATCTCACAGTATCTTTCACCAGACCATTGAGTGCAATGAATCAGCCCGAACATGACACTTGGAAGTATGACACACATCAGCACCTGGATTTACCTCCTTTAGGAGCGTTTTTCCGCGATGATGTAATTCCCCTTTGGGTTGTGGTAATGTCCAGGCAACCACCTAACTGCTAGGAAGTCCATTGTGTTTGCCTTTAAGCCATTACATGCGACCACGCAATGTTGTACAAAATGCACAGTCACAGACAGAGAATATCCAGCAACCTTTAGTTCATCAAACGAAAGGAAAAGAAAGGACGCACAATGGTCACCACTAAACTAATCGGACAGAATTATTTTTAAAAGCATATTAGAAACTACATGTTGTTAGTTCAACTCTTACCATCAAAGTCATTGCCACTAGTTATGTACACCATAAGATGCAACTGGTAAAGCAGATTATCCAAAAACCCATAAAATAGATTTCTTGGATTGCTACTGTTAAGTACATCATAAGATGCATCTTTTCACCATCGAGTTTTGTGTAAGACAACTAGTTAAAGTAAGAGCATCCAGAACAAAGGCCACTATATAGAACTGACAATGAAAGACAATCTGCTAACAGGATCAGTAAGAATGAACTCACCGAGCAAAGTTCAACAAGAATGCAACCCACGCTCCACATATCACAGGGATAATTCCACCCAAGCCCTTCAAAATAATAAAGAAAAGTCAACAAGTATTTGTTGTAAATATAAAAAGAAAATATATATAACTACACAACTTGTGAAATATCATTTGAGGCAAAACAAAATTTTACCAAGAATAACCTCAGGTGCACGGTAATGCCTAGTTGAGACCACGTAACTGTGGTCCTGATGTTCAAATGTTGTACTTCCAAAGTCTATAAGCTTGATTGCACTAGTTTTTGGGAGATTCTTGAAAAATAAACCACTTTTGGTTGACCATGACAGAACCTGCATTAATCATAATACAGAGACAATTTTAATATCAGTAGAACAGATAAACAAAAAAAAAGGGGGGAAGGGGGGGGGAACATAAGCTTGTTGCTGCAGGAAAACAAAGAGTAGCAACTTCCTATCAGTCATCATAGAATACATAGTTTCTTGGACACTGGCTAATAACAAGAATAATGAGATGCAGGTAAATTCACCTTAGGACCATCTACAGTACCTTGTAATCGGGAACCTTAACGTATTCAGATGAGACAAGAAGAATGTTCTCTGGCTTCAAGTCAGTGTGAATTAGCTGCAACTCATGCATAACTGTGACACAAATAAAAGTGTGATAACCTTTATAGAAACCACTAAAGCCACATTTCAATAGAATCCCAAGCTAGTAAAGAAGATTGTAAACCTGACTACTGTTTAGTACACAACAACATAGTGTCAAAAAATGATTGAGCACCACACAATCTAATGCTTGATTACTGAATTGCATGTAATGGAAGGGACAGAACAAGTACATGCTACAGACTCCAAAAGCTGTCTCCCAAGTTCCCGGACTAAGTCAATGGGGAAAGAGCGGTAGCTGTTTTTCCGAAGGAAGTCATACAAACTTGGTCCAAGCTTCTCAAAGACCTGTTGAGATCACATAAAAATAGAAATGCTTAGAGAGAAACATTAGGCCACCACAGAAAACTGAGTCACAAATGCATATGTACTTACTATACATATATGATTACGATAGTCAAACCAATTCCGTATTTGCACACAACTGCATGAAGAAACCACGTATATGTATCCATCTTAAAGTCCTAAGTATTCAATAAATAAAATAATAGGCTGAAATATTGTTGGCCTACCGAGTGCCACTTCTGTCAGCTTTTGCAAGCCTTTGAAGTACGTCAATTTCGATCATTGCAGCATCACGATATTTCTGAAGAGAACGCACAATTTTGATAGCAACTGGTTCTTGATTTTCCAAGTCCCAACATTCCAAGACTTGCCCAAATGTTCCTGCAGAGTATGCAATGCATAAAATGAAAATACAGGGAGAAAACTAAGAGTTCATAACAAACAAAGGTTCGTCACTCATAAATTTTAAATATTAGAATCAGTTAAAAGGGAGAGGATGTAAAAGAAGACGTCAAATGTCTTTCTAGTATTATCGCATGTTGGCTAATGCAGGAGTGAAACAGACTCACCTTCACCCATTTTGCTCAGTATCCTATCTGCATAGGTCAACAGTGTAAATGTGTTAATATCAGGGTGTATCCATAAAATTAAAATGAAAAGTGCAGTTGAGGTTGCAGATGCATCGATAAAATTAAAATGATAGCACGTACTTGAAAACATGGTGCTACTATTTACACAAATATAAACAGAACAGCGACAAACAATTACATCTCGGTGTTAGATTCTCGCCGATGCTAAAAATATAATGGCCGTCTTTGTTGTCGCCCCTCCAGGGAGGAGACGCATATCGAGGGACTCCACCATGGTAGAATGATTGCAATAACTGGTTGGCACCAGCTACATGGGCAGCTTCCTTTCCGCAGTACAGCGTCACAGGAACCTACAAAAAGGATAAGTTCATTTCCATGTTAGACAATTCTGAGAATTGCACAAACAGAATTCTCAAGCATTTAATCAGGTTAATACCACACCCAAAAAAGTCCTTCTGAAGGAAAAAAAAATGCACTGCTTTTACCAGCAAAAGCAAAATTCACTGGCATCGAAGCAATAAACAGAAAACAAAAACCTGTCGCTCCGCTACAAAGTTCAGTTCAACAAATAAAAGTATACCATATTTCGATGAAGCACAACAGCAATTGAGTTCAGAATCGCTCGAGAACCGAATAGCACTAGGATGAATCAGGCCGGACAACGAACGGGTCAACGAGATCCTTTACGAAATTCACATGAAAACAACTAAAAATGCTCCCTTTTTTTTCTTCGAGATCTATCATCAAAACCGAAATTTACGAAAAGAAGCACGAATACCAACAGAAGGCTCAATTCAAAAAAGGGCCGGACGCAGGAGAAAGATCGAAAGAAGAGATCGGGGCGAAGAGCAAACGGGAAGAAAGACCATTGCGGGGGGGATCGGAGGGGGCACATCCCAAGTGAACCTGGGCCTCTTCCGCGGGCGCTTGTCCGTGGCCGCGTGCGGGAATTCGGCCATCCACTGGGTCTCCATCTCCGAACAAATCACCAAAGCAACACCCAATTCATCAGATGGTGAAATCGATGCGAATCAAGAACGACAACCCAGGTTCTCTTCTTCGTTTTCTCCCAGCAAGCCCTAATCGGCCGCCCTTTTTCTCAGGCTAACTACGGTTTAAATGAACGTTGCTCGCGGGGACGAGGTGTGTCATCTTAACCGTAGTTACTTGGAAACCGTTTCCGGAAGAAGATCCCTCGAATCCCTCTGAGTCGGATCACATTTATGTTTTGGTCCTCCAAAAAGGTTTTTATTTTCTTTGAGGAGTTTTGCTTATATACACCCCCGCAAAAACATGTAATCTGCCAATAGCTCCTCCAACAGTCACATTTGCACGAATACCTCCTCTACGATAGTAGATATCTTGCGTATCTTCCCGTATAAGTTTGTATTTGCATGTATGTCTTCCAAACAACACGTACATATGTTTTTTTCTGAAGTGTTACAGTAAATAATAAACTCTCAAAAGAGATTATATGTTTTTATTGAAACATTCGAACTGATTAATATAGATCTAACGCTCGAGTCTTTAGGCGTTACAACCAGTTTACATGGTTTCTCGTGGTAGGATTTTAGACTGTAGAATGCTTTCCAATTGGGCTTGCCATGGGCTGGTCATGGCATTTCTTGGAGAAGAGATGACGATCCATGGTATCTGATAGAAATAATAGAAGATAAGAATAATAATTGAAGAAGCTTTATTGTAGAAATGAAATAGCTTTAGCTTGAATCTATTAACATCCCTCTCCTATTTATACAGATTAGGAGGAAGGATTTCCCACAACAGAATAAACAGAATAGAGAGATTTCTTATCCTCTATCAAGTTAGGGAAATCTTATCTTCTATCATGTTGGGGAAATCTTATCTTCTATCATGCCCCCGCAAGATGGTGCTCCTAACAAGGATACCAATCTTGGATCGATGCAAAGAATTGTTTACAAGTGAGAGGCTTCATGAGTAAGATAAGTGTAGATCGCTGCTGCTGCTGCTGCGATTGTTGTTGCTGTGATGGCACAGGCGTTCCCTTCATTCTCCTTAAGTCTGCCGAATGTTGACAGATCAGCGAAGACTACCGCGGTGAGGAAGATGAGGATTGATCACGGAGCCTGCTTCACTTTTCTCAGCGACGTTGGTCGCTGGCCGAAGGCAAGAGCGAAACTTCGTTTTTCTCAACGACGTTGGTCGTGGTTGCGATTACGACGGCTGCGACGGTAGAGAAGAAATCTACAGCAATGTTGCAGTGATGCTACTACAGCAAAGGAGGAAACTACAACAGAGGAGGAAGCTGTAGCAGAAGAGGAAGGAAAATAGCTACAACGAGGAAGAAAGGTGGGGCAATGCTGATAAGCAGCATTAGAGATGCCGTGGCAGAACCCAGGGCGGTCGCCGCAAAACCCAGGGCGCGAGCCCAGGCGGAGCGGCCGTCGGTGCAGATCTTGGTGGTAGTAGCAAATATTCAAATGAGAACTTTGAAGGCCGAAGAGGGGAAAGGTTCCATGTGAACGGCACTTGCACATGGGTTAGCCGATCCTAAGGGACGGGGGAAGCCCGTCCGAGAGCGTGTCTCCACGCGAGCTCCGAAAGGGAATCGGGTTAAAATTCTC